TGGCACCTTTGACTTAGGTGGGAGGTGTACAGAGAACAGGTGCAGGAGTTCTGCTTGTCTCCTGACACTTGTTAAAAAAAATAACAAAGGTTAAGTGCTACAGAAAAGAAGGTCATATGCCAGTAGCAAGTGAGATTTTCCCTTCCACATTGACTAGGGTATAAGATAATATTGCCTGGATTATGAACGGCAGTATCTATGACATTTGATTCTGGGATTCTGGGTGGGTATATTTCTACAGCACATGTAGCATTTTAAAAGCTCTGCCTTCATATGAATACACACACACAGCCAGACTAGAAAGAAGGGTAAGGGAAATCAGACAAGGAAGGGTGAAATTAGAGAAGACATTGAGAATGTTAGGAAGCAGGGACAGAGGGCCTGAGAAGAGAGGGCAGCAGAGAGGGAGGAAGGCTGAGTCAAGAGGATAAACCTAAAGCCTCATCTAGGTTAGAGCACATTGAAAGAAAAGCAATTGTTAAATATCAGCGTCTTATGCTACATATGTGAAAATAACGGCAAGGATGGTGAAATGACCTTCCAGAATTACAAGGTGGCTTTCCATGGTTCTGAGAGCAGCTGGAAGTCAGGGAGGAAAGAGAAAGTCTACAAGTCAGGGAGGGGGTGGGGGAACGAGAAGTAAGTCACAAGGCTAAAGGATGTGAGAGGCAATTTTTTTTTCTCTGAGGCAGAATTTGCATGCGGAAGGTAATTGTCAGTTGGAAAGGAGGAAGTCACTACAGCTACTGAGGTTTGCTGAAATCAGAGATCAAACACCAGCTCTACAAGTCAGGTTCCATCTCCCAGGGAAATGCTGCTTCTGCCATTTCAACTGTTAGCTGTTCTCCTCCCAGGTGCTGACAGTGAGGATGGTAAGAGTCACTCTGGCAGCTCCCTGCAGTTTTGCAAGGGTATTGGGTAACAGTAAGCTGCACTACCCACGTGCACTAGGAAAAGAGAGCCGTCTTCTGCCTCTCTGAATCTCGGGGATGGAGCCTAAATCCCTAGGGCAGTCACGTGTGTCAGCCTTTATGTGTTCTTCAGCATCTAGGTCCTGTTGTTGGGATCTTTTCCATTTCCATTCCTTCTCACTCCCTCCTGCTTGTTCCTTTCTCTTCACAGGCTTCCAGGGACCAACTTCTTACCATATTATCCAGATCACATCCTTTGTCAACAGCACCTGGGCAAAAAATCAACTTTCGGGCTGGTTGGATGATTTGCAGATTCACGGCTGGGACAGTGACTCAGGCACTGCCAGATTCCTGAAGCCCTGGTCCAAAGGCAACCTCAAGGAAGAGGAGGTTGCTGAACTGAATATACTATTCAGAGACTACATATTTAGATTTATACAAGAAATACAGGCAGGTGCTACTAAATCCCACATGGAATGTGAGTACATGACCCTGACTGGAAAGATTTTCAAGGATTTTATTCTCTCTCATTTTGCAAATTTCTAATGCCTCTGATCCTCCTCCCACTTTCTGCCCTACCCGACTGTGTGCACACACTCACCTATTGCAGTCACTCGGGCTAACGGTGCACCTCACACCTTATTGCATATTCTGGCCTCTTCTCGGACTCTTCTCTGAGAGATCCAGGCTTCCTGTAACCAACCCCTGCTTTGTCTTATGTGGACCTGGCCTCTCAAGGGCCCTTATTCTACTCCTGTTTAGAGTGACCTACACTGTGGCTCCTTCCTCTGATCTGCCTCTTCAGCCATCTTTTCCCTACACTGCTCCTGCTGTGGTCCTTTGGCTCATGCTGAAGTGCTGTGCTCTGGGCTCCCCACCCCCACTCCTACTATACCCCTCACACCTTCCCAATGCTCTTCTTTCTGGAAAGCTCTAAATGCTAAATTGGGGTTGGGTCATCATTTCATACCCACGGACTTCATCCCAACCAAAATCTAACATCCTAGGTCCTTTCCTCATGGTTTTGTTTTTCATTCATGTTTCATAACTTGTTCTCTGTTTTCTTTCTACCTAGACCCCTTTGAGATCCAGGGCATAGCAGGCTGTGAGCTACAGTCTGGAGGTTCCATAGTAAGCTTCCTGAGGGGAGCTTTAGGAGGACTGGATTTCCTGAGATTTGACGGTGATACCTGTGTGCCTTCCCCAGAGGCGGGCAGCAGGGCCCAGTATGTCTGCACAATAATCATGGAAAATCATGCACTCGTTGTGATTGGGAGGAGGCTCCTGTATGAAACCTGCCCCCGATTTCTCTCAGGAGTCCTCGATGCAGGGAAGGCAGAGCTGCAAAGGCAAGGTGAGTCCTGCTCTCTACTTCCCTTCCCACCACCTGCTCTGAGCTTAAGACTAGGAGGTACCCAAGGAGGATAGTAGTTAAGCAAAGAGTTGTTTGGTTCCAACAACCATGGAAGGGGTCACTGTCCAAACTTGTGTGTTTCTGCCTCCCTATCATCTCAATTCAAGTCCTGATAAGACACTCTCACTGCCCCTTCCTGCCACAGTGAAGCCCGAGGCCTGGCTGTCCAGTGGCCCCAGTCCTGGGCCTGGCCGTCTGCTGCTGGTCTGCCATGTCTCAGGATTCTACCCAAAGCCCGTGCAGGTGATGTGGATGTGGGGTGAGCAGGAGCAGCCGGGCACTCAGCACAGCGACCTCCTGCCCAATGCTGACTGGACATGGTATCTCCGAGCAACCCTGGATGTGGCAGCTGGGGATGTGACCGGCCTGTCCTGCCGGGTGAAGCATAGCAGTCTAGAGGGCCGGGACATTGTCCTCTACTGGGGTAAGAAAGATCACCATCCAGGTTGAACATGGGAGGAGGAGGTCCTCAGGCACAGAGGGAGGCACTGGGGAAGGAACAGTTTGACAGGTGAAGAGGGAGAAAGAGAGAGACTGATTCATTTCTGGGACACACATTCCAACAGGAATAAAAACAAAGGTTAAGTATGAAGGACCTGCAGATTGTGTAAGTTGGGGCTAGAAGGATCACAGGATGGTGGGTGGAATCAGGAATATAGAGAGGGAGGTGGGGATGACCACACTTTGGAAGCAAGTGAATTGGTGGTGCTGGCACACAGGTCTGCAAGGATGCCGGGAGATTCATGGCATGGAATGGGACATGACGTTCTTTTTTCCTTTACCAATTCCCAGGGCAATCCACCTCTATTACCTCAATCTGTTTGGCAATAATAGTGCCCTCCATCATCTTTTTGCTGTGCCTTGCATTGTGGTATATGAGACATCGGTAAGTTTGGGGTTTTTATTGCTCTTTCTTTTCTGTCCATGCTCCCACTCTTCGTCATCATTTTACTTATTTCATGACTTCAGTCACAATCTGTCCAGCAGACCATTTGCCCCCACATCCTTTATGCTGAGATATATATTTTTAGTCCTGTAAAAATACACAAAACAAAATTTACCATCTTGACCATTTTTAAGTGCACAGTGGAGTGACGTTAACTGCCTTAACGTTGTTCTGAAGCTCTATTTCTATTAAACATCACTCCTATTTCATTTACCTCACTCCTGGACTCTGGGCAGGAGCAATGTACTTTCTATATCTTTCTTTGCCAACTCTAGAAACATCACATAAGTGGACTCATACACATACAGTAACTATCATTTTATGACTGGCTATTTCACCTATTGTAAGTTCCCCGATGTTCATCTGTGTTGTAGCCTAGGACAGGGTTTCCTTCCTTTGTGGGTCTGACACATTCAGATCATCCATTCACCCACCTGTGCTCACTGCACTTGCCTCCACCTTGACCTGCTGTGGATAATGCTGCCATGAGCACAAGAGTACAAATATCTCTTATGTAGAGCCCTATATTGTGTGGTTTTAACAGGTCACATCACAATACGCCTTGAGTCCTCATCGTGTCTTCTCTTCCATTTGGAATAAGGACCAAGAAGGCCAGGATCCCACAGTCTCAACCCAGGAGTTAGTCTCATCACATTTCATCAAATGATTGTCATATTTTATCAATGTGGACTTTCTGTACATTGTAAAAAAGTTATAATTGCAGTACCAGTAGAAAATGATTTTAAACAGTCAGCATAATACAAATCTGTATGAACAGTATGATCTATCACTTATATATTAAAATGTGAGAAAGAATCCCTCAATTTAAAAGAAATATGGTATATACAATATAATAGAGACTTTTCTTTGGCTTTCTATTTTTTAAGTCTGCTTCTGCCTAACTATAATTTCTCAAAGTAAACTAAATGTACATATGCTGAGATAATTGTATTGCAAAGCAGGGAATTTTTTATATAGTTTCTGTCTGGATGACTTTCTCACCCTCAAAGCCCAGCTGAGGAGCTTCTTCCTCTAGGACAGTGCTTCTCAACCTTCTTAATGCGACCTTTTAATACAGTTCCTGTGGGTCATGACCCATAGGTTGAGAACCGCTGCTCTAGGAGGCCTTTCACACTGCTGCTGCCATGGAAGAAACCCTCCTTGTCTGATATCACCCACAGAACCTCTGTACTCAGCAGCCACAGCACTATAGTTATTTGGTGTTTCTTCCTTTCCTACCTTCAAGTTCCTTGAGGGCAGCACTGCCTGTTTGTGGATCCCTGGCAAGATCTCCCTGCAAATGCATTTTCCCAGTAAAAATTATCTGAATACTGACTGTCAAGTTGATGGTCTTCTTCCAGAGTCTTCTCCTTCCTTCCTTTTCTCCCTTTAGTTCACATTCCAGTTCTTCCTCTTCTTTCCAAAATATTTCCAACTTAGACAAAATCATTCTGATTTTCTTATTTCTGCTTTAAACTCCTCTGAAGAAAACCACTTTGTCCCTCCCACAACTATAGTCTACATTCAAAGAGTCATGTTGGTAGAATATTGCGTCTCATTTTTCCAGGGAGGATGAAAGAGAGGCAGGATGGGTGAGAAGTAATAGTTCAGGTGATTGGGACATACCCAAGGAGAAGAATTAAGAAGGCTGATCCTGTCCTTTGGGTCCTTGCTTGATATCTGTGCTATATCAGTGCAGTTGTATTTTGGATTTACATTTCCATTTATTCATTGCTTACTTTATGGTTTTCTAGAACTGTCCATCTTTTTTTTTTTTTTTTGAGATAGAGCCTCAAGCTGTCCCCCACCCCACCCCTGGGTAGTGTGCTGTGGCATCACAGCTCACAGCAACCTCCAACTCCTGGACTCAAGCGAGTCTCCTGCCTCCACCTCCCAAGTAGCTGGGACCACAAGTGCCCGCCACAACGCCTGACTTTTTTTTTTTTTTTTTTGGTTGCAACCATCATTGTTGTTTGGCAGGCCAGGGCTGGATTAGAACCCGCCACCTTAGGTGTATATGGCTGGCACCTTAGCCACTTGAGCCACAGGTGCCAAGCCAGAACTGTTCATCTTAAAACATCCAAATTAATTTGTATTGAAATAGTAAGGGGCCAGAAGATTTGAATTTTTTTTTTCAGACTTAGGAATGGAGGTCAGGGGAAATAGAAGTTTTAGAGAAGCCAGTGGTACTAAAAGCAATTTTCCTACCTATACATTTCAGGACAACATGGTCTTTAGAATTTGACAAGTGTAGAAAAAGGGTGAAAATATAGCTTTCTTCCCCTCTCCTATTAGTACACCTGGCTACATCTCCGAATTACATTCAGCTAGCACATCTTACAGTACAACCATGCTCTTGCTATGTGCCATGAACTATGTAATGTGAGTGAGCTATGAACAATCTGCAGCAACTGTACCTGGAACATTCCTAGAAAATTAAATTTCTAACCTCCCCCCCAACGTACTGAATCAGAAAATATGCATGGCAAGCATATGGCAGGCTAGAAGGTTCTCTCTGCTCACCTCTCTCATTACATCAGGGGAAAGAGAGAGAACCCAATCATATTGATGTGGGGAATCTACCTGGAGTTTTTGCTTAGGGGACACAACTAGGCAGTGGTGGACTGCAGGAGACAGCAGGAGGTCTGGAGCTGTGTAGGACTGACTCAGTAAACAAGTGCCTGGTAGCTGGTGGGGATCAGACGGCCCACCATAGAGGTCTGGGTTGGGGAGGGGACTTTTCTGCAAGTTTTGGATTTCAGCAGAAGCTGCACATTGAGTGGAAATCTTGGAAGAGTAAACAAACTCAAACAATGTGCAGCAACTGAGTTTGAATACTGGGTGGAGTGGATTTACCAGCAGCTTTTCTACTAGGCTGCCATTGTGGGAAGGACTGTGGGTAGGTTTGTCTGCAGGGGCTTAGAACAAGGCAGGCTCTGACACACCTGCTGAGATCTGGTTTCCACTCTTGAGGAGAGCTGAGTGGCTCCCACGCACTCCCAGGAATTATTGTTAGGGGGCACTGTGAGACTTGCCTCCTAATGATTCTGGAGAGTTTTAAGACCCCCTACCTGGCAGTGACCAAATGCTGAGGAAACAATCAGACACTCACCTAGGGCGACTAAGTCAGGATGGTAGGACCTGTATTTGCAGGAGTCCTCAAACTTTTTAAACAGGGGGCCAGTTCACAGTTAGAGGGTTGGACTATAGTTTAAAAAGACAGGCAGCGGCTAAGCAGGACAGCCTGCCAAGGCAAAAACACCCAGAGGGCCGGATAAATGTCCTGGGCAGGTCGCATGTGGCCCGGGGGCCATAGTTTGAGGATGCCAGATAGTGTATCTGTCGTGTGTTCTCCGTCTTCTAAAACCACAGCGCCACCTGGTGTCCTGGAAATATATTACTACATATATATTCCTATTGTAGTTGCTCCCTTCCACAAAATATATAATTTCTTTTTTTAGTATTTTTTCTATTCTTTTTCTTCTTTGTTGCTGAGGTTATTGTTGTTGTTGGCTATTTGAGTTTTTTATTTGTTTTGTTTTTTCTAACTTGGTTGTTTCTATTCTTAATTTCCATTTTTACTTTCTTCAAGAAAAAAAGAGTACTGTATTTTTGTTACAATATTTCAGCCTCATTTATTTTAATTCTCTATTAAATAATTCTCTATTTTAATTCTCTCCTTTTTTCTCTCTTTAAGTAGAGCCTTGTCTACTTTTTCCATTTGCCCACAAAATTGCTCATACAACAGCTAAGATATCCCCCTTTTTTTCTTTGCTTCTGTTTCCCCTTCCTTATTTCTCTTTTATCTGATACAACTGTATTTTTAATAGTCCTTATATATTCTTTGTTTTTCTCTTTTCTCTGAGTGCTAAAGTGCCATGGTATGGCATAGACAGCAAGGAGGGTAGGAGGTCACAGCAGTGCTCTGGCTTCAGGAGGTCAAGAGATCATGATCTAGGGAGTACTTCTATGTTTGGCCTTTGAGAAGACAGCATTGGAAAGTTTACACTACTAAATTTTTCTGTTTTTCTTTTCCCTCTCTCTCTTTTCTTTTTATTTCTAACTTTTGCAGAGGTAGTGTCTTGCTTTGCTCAAGCTAGTAAGGAGCTGCTGATTTTTAGGGACCCACCCAGCCCATCCCCCAAAATCCTTGAATTGCAGGCATTGCCATAGAACCATAATGAACAATACCACTTCTCCTGTCACTCTCTTTCTCTCTTTCTGTCCTCCTCTCCTATTCTTCAATCCTTTCTTTTAATCTCCTTTCTTTTCTCTTGTCCTTCTCTTTTCTTCTCTCTTTCTTCTTCTCCTCTTTCTCCCTGCTTGCTCTATACCCTTTTCTTCCCTTTAGTCTTATACCAAGAAGCCACATCAACACCTAAGCTCTGAGATAAGGTATTTTAAAGTGAAGGAGTCAGTAAAAAGTAATAGTGGGGCAAGGGAGTGAATGAGAAGAAAACACATATGAGGAGGAACCAACAGAAAAATGGTGGCAACATGAAAAGCCAAGAACTGAACAACTCCCAAGGGACCACATGACAGAAACTGCAGAGAACTCTACCTATAAATAATTAATGTAGTTGACAAAAAGGGAATTTAATATATGGATGAAGACAATAAAAAAATTGATAAGAAAGGAAAAAATAGAATGAAAAAAATAGATAAAAGACAAAGGAACATAGAAAGGATATGGCAGAGCTTAAGGAAATGAAGGAATCAATCAAAGAATTTGAAGATGCAGTAGAAAGTATCAATAACAGATTAGACCATGGAGAAGAAAGAATATCAGCGCTAGAGGATAAAGTTCAAGAGCTAACTCAGATAGTTAAAAAGACAGAAAAGAAGAAAGAGAGCAGAGCCATCACTCAGAAAATTATGGGACCTCCTGAAGCATTCAAAAATACTAATTTTAGAGATAACTGAAGGGGAAGAAAATAATCCCAA